CGGCGGCGTCGCGGGAGCCTGAGAGGAGCCCGGCGCCTCGATGAGCTCCTAGCTCCCACCCTGCCCCGTCCTCGCCGGCAGCAGCTCCAGGTGTGCGGGTCAGAGCAGAGCCGGGGACGCAGCTGGCTGCAATGGCGTCCAACATGGACCGAGAAATGATATTGGCTGATTTCCAGGTAAATTTCAAGCCGCCGCCGCCACACGACCGTGGCCTCTCGCTGCTTTTCTCTTTCTTCTCGTTGCTGTGCTGCTTGTTCTTTGTGGGAAGGTCTAGGGCGGTGGGTGTGAAGCCCACTCTCCAAAGCCTCCACTTGCTCGCTCTTTCTTTTTCTTTCTTTTTTTGTCAGAAATGGGGAACGTGTGCCCTCTTCTCTCAAGGTGTGTGAACAAAATGTCTTCTTTAACTTAGAGAGTTTCAGTTTTTAATAAAAAAAAAAAAAAAGCTTTTTCATCCACTTTGCTTGTTCCAACCCTCTACAACCACCCAGGCCCTGGGACAGCTGTGAGCCAGCTCACTTGGAAGAGGTAAATGCCAGGGAGGATACAAAACTCATCACTCCTCATGATTTGTCACAGTGTTTGTAATGAATCACTTACTGGTACTACAGATTAACGCTGAACAGAGGTGTTTCCATTATAACAGCAACACTAACTTCATGGTTGCCTCAGCCTATGACTGTTGTAATGACAGTAAAACTGTTCCCACCCCATTCCAAACAACAACATGTGTGTTTAGAAAGGAGGAATGTGCCCTTAAAAGTTGTTTGTTACCTTCCCTCCTCCCTGCAAATGGGTTATAATTTGACTTCAAACTCTTAAATCTTATTCCCAGAATAAAGTCTTTCTCTAAATAAAAGTGATGTGTTCAGGAGCCTGGTTAATCTGTTGAGTATATTGCTTCTTAGTATTGCTTGGTTTTATATTGTTTTTCTAAGAACAAGTAAACAAACAAGTGGAAGATACCTGCATTTGAAATAGTGGGGAGAGCCAAAAGCAGCTTGGAAGGGTATCAGATTATATCTTTTTAATATTTGCTTTTCAATCGATTTTTTTTTTTTTTTTTTTAAGCTTTGTCCATTTGCAGTGGTTGTTCTTACATGGATAGGCTCCTGGATATTCTTGGATTGAGTTGTAAAACTGCTCTCTGTATGTTCAACTTCTTAGAAGACTGTTTTTCAGCTGTTAGCAGTGAAATTTAGTTTAAAAAAAGTAATCCCTTCATTCACTCTGTATGTGTGTTTAACAAGAATGTTTCTTTGGAATTACAGGTAGGGTGACTGTAGGGTACGTTATGTAATTCCTCTTTTACAAAAGGTGTCTGATATCTTACTGACGTAACATGTGGAGTTCCCAACTGATAACAGGGAAGTGTTTTCCCTTTCCGTACCTGAGTATCTTACACCCATATTTATTAAAATGTTTAACAAATGTTTCTATAATGATCCTGTATTTTGTTGCGCTTGGAGATACTTCTGTGTGTAGGAGTGACGTCTCAATGTTAAAGCTGGGGTTTCATGAAGGAGTTCTTCCAGTAACAATACACTGTGTAAAAGGAAACTGGGACCCCAATTCTGCACTCATGCTAGTGGAGACAGACTCTTATGGAATCCCTCATTATTAGCTGAAACAGGATACATTCAGGAATCCCAGACGGTGATTAAGTTAGTGGCTGGTGAATGTAAGATTTTTTTTAATAGAGTTTTCAATCTGTACCCACTTTCCGAGTTTTTAGTGTCAATGCTATTTTGCAGTTCTGCAGTATTTTTCTGCTTGGGTTTTGAAACTGGTTAATAAAGGTACAACAGTAACTGCAGTGTTTGGTATCATGAAGACAGGTAAGTATTATTGCAAACTTGCAGATGGGCGGTGGAGTCACAGAAACCAGTTGTAGATCAAGGATGACATAATGTGTCTGAGCCTAGGACCCAGGAAATATTTTATCATATCACAACGCTTATGGAGAAAAGAAAAAAAAAATCCAAACTTTTTGCTCTTGTATTTCACTAGACAACTTTGTTTTTCTGTTTCATCCTCTCTCTTTTTTTTTTTTAAATAGTCTCAAGGATCTACCTGATTCTGAAACACTGAACTGTCAATTGTCATGCTGTTAAAACTTCAGATTAGTAAAGGACAATGTCGATCATTATTAGGCCTCGTATCTTTAGGCTGTTACAAAATGGTAAAGGATTTTGGGGTATTTTAAATACTTGATGGAATTTGCAACTCATTCACTAAGAATTTAAAATGGAAAATAAAACATGTGCAAAGTAATTCTGCATGATTTTCCCTTCTATATTTTCTGTACCTTTTAATTAATAAATATGTCTCTCAGAGTTCTGCTGCCATTTTCTATGTTTGTGTGAGGTATCTTGTTGAAGAGTGTTGTGCACACTGGAAATTTTAAAAGCAATTCTTCATAGTTTTGTTCAGCTAATCTTTGCTGAATTAAATTGGGAGGGAAACTTCCATCACCGTTTCACGCTTGCCTTTCCCAAGTTACTTTTAACAGGGATAGAGCAGTGGTCTTCGAACTTTTAAAACTTGAAAGGGTTTTCCCTCCCCATAAAAAAATTTTCAGTGAAGTCAAAATTATACTGATGTTTGATGCTTTTGTGAAGCTTTCATGGACTTATTTTGTATCTTTCAAAGACACTAGGGATTCTGCCATTGATTTCAACTAGAGCAGGATCTTGTATTGCATTTGGTTTTTCCTTTTAGCTCTGATTGTTGTGACAGGTTACCTCCGCATTCTGAGTTACTAAAGAGAAATAAGTTTTAAAAATATGTTGTATGTATACATATACATACAAACATTGAATAATTTTATAAAATATTTTAACTATAGAGTAAAACACAGAAAGTGATCTACCAAAATATTTTTTCTTAATGTCTCAAAACAATTTAAGCCTGTTCTGTGTGGTTTATAATTATTTTATTTCCTTCTCCTTTTTTAATGAGGTTACTGTATGCTACCCAGAGAGTACAAAGTACGTATTCATGCATGTGAGCTGTATAAGCAACCTGTCTAACTTTTCCTTCTTAGGTCCTCACTTAGGAAAGATTATGCAGAAGCTTAGCTTTATACATGTGTAGTCTGACTGTTTTCAGTGGAAGTAGCTAAAGTAGTAGAGTTAGGTGCACAAACAAGTGTTAGCTGTTTTACTAAATGCAATTCAGAATTTCTCCACAAAGTGTCATTGGCATATAGGAAAAACTCCTTAAGAAAAAACTCAACAACTTGTGTTTGTAGCATAAATTACTTAAAAAGGTGACTGCATGTGAATTGGTAAAAGAGTGATGCTGCAATATACCTCACATACTGGGGGAAATAAGGGCATATAATTTCTACCAATTTTTGTTAACATCGCTGTTCTTCTTTTGTTTGTTGTGTTTAACTGCAAAATGTTCTTCCATCTCCAGTGGGATACCCAGGTACTCACATGATACAAATATATTAATGATCTGTGCAGTCTGGGATTTGAAGAGAATTGCTCTCACAGTGTATTGGTCCACTTTTCATTATAAAGAAAATAGATTTTTTTGTTTTTGTTTTTTCCTTTTTAAATGGCAAACTTCAGTTGCACTGAACTTAGTTAAATTGGCATAGTTAAACTGTTCAGGAATGAAAAACAATCTTTGCGTACTGGCAGAAGTGTCAGACGTTGACATTTTTGTATGCTAGCACCTTTACTTTTGTTTTTAACAGCTTCGCTTAGGATGGGGACTAAAATTAGCAAGAATATCTTTTTGTCGTTATAAGTTACGTCCACCTGTAGGACCACTTTATTCATGCTGTGTGGTTGTCCAAACAAAATTCTAAATGTAGAGTGGGCCTAAGGGTTGGAGTAGTGTGGGAGTTGCCAGCTCCTGGGTGTCCATATATTACAAAAATATCTGGCACGTGGAGCTTCAGAAGGGAATTTTTCATAGAATTCACATTTTTTCATTGACCAAATAAATAAGTAGCTCAAGATTTGGTCTGGGTGGGAAGACTTCGGAGTGGAATGGCAAAACTCAAAACCCCTTGCTTTCATTGAAACAACACATACCTAATAGTTTTCTTCTTCTTCTTCTTCCTTCTGTTTTTCATCTATGTTCATTGTGAAATAAAGTTACATGAGTTTTTTTCTTTTTGCAATTTTTTTTTTAAACTGCGTAATAGACTGCTTTGGTATGATTCACACACATATGTATATAAATTTTTTTTTTTTTTCTCCAAACTTCACATTTGTGTCAGTCTTTTTCATAAAAACAGAGGTTTGTGGGAGGAGCAAGGGGGAATTGGGAAGGAAGAACCTCATTACCATCAGTTACGGAAAGGTGAGAAAGCATGCTAGATAATTATGTTTTAAGTTATAAAATTGACCATGACATTGATACATCAGCTTATTATTTCTTTATTTTAATTTTTTTATTTTAAGATTTAACCGTAATTTTAGCCGTAATTCAAACTACTCGTTTCCTTCTGGAATGGCTAAAATTAAAGAAACTGCAGAATCTTTTTCACTTGGAAGTTAACACAGTGCTGTTAAATAACTGACAAGATATATTTTTAAAGATTTTTTTGTTGTTATGAAAAACATCTGTCTGCTTCAGCCCTGTAAAAGATTATCTCTGTTATGCACACTGTTTTCACTGTCTAACAGTCTATGTGCAGAATTTACATGTGTATTAATTTTTTTTGAGGGTGCTAAGGGAGCTTTTCTTTCTTCTGTGTGTGTTGGCATGCTGGCTCAGGTTTTCTGTCACTTTTAAGTTATTGCCAGTATAAAAATTTGATGGGTGAAAAAGGTAGGAAGATATAAGAATAGCTTAAAGTCAGTACCCTTGATTCTTCCCCTGGATTGTGACTTATGCTGGGGGCTGGAAAGAGTGTTTCAACCATTTTATGTAAGGGTAAACCATCCACAAAGGGATTTTGAACAAATAGCAAAACTGATGTCCTTAATGTTGGTTTCTGAAAGAAATTGTGTTGTTTTGTCATTAAGGCATTGGAGCAGAAAGGACTGTTCTTGATTTCTTTGCAGACTTTCTGTGAAGTGTTTGGCAATTCGCTTGGAACAAGATCCTCAGTAAAAGATAGGTGCTGAAGAAACTTCCAATCGAAGTTTAAATCTTTGGAAAGTGTCCTCCAACTTGTTTAAAGTTCTTGGAGGCCTACATTTTCATCAGAAAG